TATGAAACCAGCAACACAATCAGCTGTATCGAGTGTTATTCAAGATCAAAATCTTCAATATTATTTTCGACATGATGGTCTACGAACTGTTTTATGTGCTTATGCAATGCACGCTGTTTCATCACAATGGTTAGGTTATGCAACACTTAATAATCAAATACCATTAGTAGTTGATAAAGTTACAACTCATAATAAAAATCTTGAATGGAATAATATCAATGATTTTGAAGATACTTGTGTAACAGTTGAATATTTGGGTAAAGCTATGGGTTTGTATAATATATAATTATTTTTAGTTAAAACAGAGATTTAAAAAAATTAAATAATTTTAGCAAAAATTCATTGTATATCTGATATTGATTCGATTGAAAAAGAAAAACATGCAGGACAGCATACTGATTTATTGCCATTACATATTATACCGAGACATACAGAAAAAACTATTCGAAAGGCTATTGGTGGAAATGATGAAGGTTTTATTCAAGATATGATTTCATTTGCTATGGTAAAATTTTAACAAATGATATTAGAAAAAAAAAAATTTTTAGTTATTATCTATTGTTTTAGACATATGGTAATAGAGTTCGTCGTGATCATCGACTCTTTTTTGAAGCATTTCGTAATGGAAGAATTCCTATGTTACAAGTTGATGAATCTCATTCACAACCCTACTCTGGTTCTCCTTAACCATATTGAACTTATTAAAAAAGACAATAAAACATATTCTTCTTTTTTCTTTTCCTATTTAATCAAATAAAGCAAAAATAATCGGTGCCACATATCTCAACGTCATAAATAATATCTGATACAAAAGTAATACAACAAATGTCAGACTCTATTTCTCTTCGACTCTTAGCAAAAACTTTGATTTGCCGACGTCTATTTAAAAACATCTTCAAACATGTCTTTTGTATTGGCAAAATGTTCCGACTGCAGATTCATCTCGAAATCCAAAGAATTTTTTCGTGACCCGACACAAGTCGGACATTAATAGACAGTCCTCTTTTTGACAGCCTTATGTTCTGTGCGAAGCAGGCAGTTACAAAATGTGGCCATTCATAATAACCCATCTGTTACAAATCTTTTGATATTGATATATAAAACTTTGAGAAAGTACACTAGAAATCAGCTTTTCAATCTTTCTCTTAAAAATTATCAAGAAAACTTTTATAACCTTCATTGTATTAAATTGAGATCATATTCTTCATACCAAATTACCTTGTATCAATTTATGCTAAATAAGTGATGCTTTGCTCTTTTAACAGTACAGAAAAATAATTAATCATTATTTATCATCTTAAATCCTTTTAACTTAATAAAATAAGAAAAAAAACAAATCTTCTACTATAAATAACAATAATAATCTTCTTATTTTTGATTTCTTTTGCATTAGAAAATAAAAAATTTTAGAAATCAAATTTAGCTTGCAAAAAAAAAAGAACTCTTGTTTAATTAACGATGTTATCCAGCGATAGCTCGCTATTTTGCTTTGTTTTTTTTGTTTTTGTTTAAAAAAAATCGTAACATTATATACTCCATTGCCTACAAGCATTCAAAAGGTGAACAATAATAATGAACGTTGATTTAATTGTTATGAATCGTTCGTGTTGTTGGTATTTCCACTTGTGGTTTAATCACTGTTCCTCGTCGTATTTCACCCCAACCAATTAAACGAAAGTTTTTTTCAACACGACGACTTAAAGCAATCTTTTCAGATACTTCAGTACATACTGGATTAGTTAATTGTATTTTAGCTAAATCATCTTTTATAGCTAAAACACGACCACCGGTACTTAAGGATCCAATATTAACCATTAACATTTCATTTTTAGTTAATTTAGCAACCTAATAAAAACAAAAAGAAAAACAGATAATAAAATTCATGTTTAACTATGTTGAATAATTCAAACAAACCTTAGCACCTTTTTTATCGCCTTCAGTTCGTACACCAACAAGACGTCGAAGAAGAAAATAAGTTATTTGAATTTCAGTATAAATTTCTGGTAATGCACCAACTTCACCAAGTACTTGACCAACAAGACGATCAGCACGACATAAAGTTGGATCAATTTTTGTTCCAACACCAATAAGTCCGCCAGGTACAGCATAAGCAAGATCGTTCTGTTCAGCATAGAGTGATACAATTTTTGAAAGAAGTGGACGACATTGAAGACGACCTTCATTATCTTTTGATACAATACCCGGTCGAACTTCAATTTCTTGACCAACCTAATATTATGTTTTTTTTTTCAAAATAGATTTTCATTCCAAAAAAAAATTTCATACTTTAAGAACACCTTTCAAAATACTACCACCAGCTACTCCACCTTTCAAATCATCAACTTCAGCACCGGGCTTATTAACATCGAACGATCGAATAACTAAACAAAAATAAAATAATGATGCCGTTTCTTTTTTTTATATATGTTAACATCCAATCTTAGATCTGTCTAGGCCAATCTAAGATTTCACTTTAAATGCGTCCAATCTAGGATTTATCTAGGTCGATCTCGGATACACTTAGAACGATTTCGAATCGACTAACATATTATATTGAAATAAAAGTTAAAATTTTATTTTTGACGAAAAAAAAAATTCAATATCTAATCATAAGCAAACAGCACAGAAAACATCAACGAAGGGTATGAGTATGGATGTATTTGTTCTCTTCACCCCATTCCATGGATGCAGAAACTGCCCGCGTATGCAAATGCATGTTCGGAGAAACTTTTTTTGAAAATTATTGTCTAGAAATGTTTGTTTAAAACTAATGAGTCTTTGAAAATTCCTCGAGCTATTTTTTCGTTCGAGGAAATTTTCTCTTTTTACGGCAGATTCTGCATCTCTGCCTCAGTCCGACAAGCGAGATATAAATTTAATTTTTAAAGTTTGTTTTAGTATAAATGACGATTTCGGAAAGTAACAATTGGTTGCATGTTTGAGGAAAACATAATTTCTATTGTACTTCTTAGAAACCTCAATTTGTAGACATATGATTCAATCACATATTGTGCTACGCCAAGATGAAAATGATATGTGGAAAATGAAGATTTATCCTATGAAATCGATTTTTAGATGACTTCGCTAGTAAGTCCTAATTAAATGTTGACAATTATATTTTGATTTTATCGAAATGTTACGAAAATTATATTCATTATCGAATAGCGAAAAACGAAGCTTCAAAATAAGGAAAAATTATAGAGGATCATAGGAAATTTTTAAAGCAATTACTATAGTCTGTTTAAAAAGTCTCTGCGGGTGACTGTTTTTTGAATGACTCGAGAACACAAACAGCTAGAGATCTGCGGTCTTCACCAATTGAAAGAGGAGAAGTTAGTACATCTTTCTCTCTGATAATGTTTCAGACGAAATTCTTTTAAAACTGATTATCTTTGAAAAATATAGAAAAGAATGCATGAAAGTGACATACAATACACATGAAGTTTCGATTATGATCTTTGATTTAAATAGAGGGACTTCAGATCTATAGTTCAAAACATAATACACTTTCTTACATTTCATGACATTTTCATCGAAGTATCCAACTGTTACGACAAAAAATGCAAAAACTTAGTAAAACATCAGCAAAATGCCCTATTATTTGTGCATGGAAATACATGATTTCACTTGGTCAACGTTAGAATGCAATTAGAGAGCTATTTTGGTTGCATCTTGAACCATAGGTCTGAACTCCCTCTATGTAAATCTAAGATCATAATCGAAACTTCATGTGTATTATATGTCACTTTCATGCATTCTTTTCTATATTTTTCAAAGATAATCAGTTTTAAAAGGATTTCGTTTGAGACATTATGAGAGAGAAAGATGTACTAACTTCTCCTCTTTCGATTGGTGAAAATCGCAAGTCTCTAGCTGTTTGCGTTCTCAAATTATTCAAAAAAAACAGTCACACGCACAGACTTTTTAAACAGACTATACTTATTTTCATGTAAGGCTTTATGCTCAATTAGAAAAGTTCACTAAACATTCGTATTTATACTTATATCTAATGTTTCTTGTTCTTGAATAGATTATTAGTTATTTTCTGAACATTTCTAAGTTATTTCTTCACATAAATGGCGATTCAATTTCATTCACCTTTTTCTACTCTGTTTTCTATTGAATACATTCTTTAGACTGAACTAACACCTCCACATCGAATGCAATATACTCAGTCTCTCTAACTCAAAATTGGCCGTATTAATCTTTCAACTTGTCATTAGCCTCGATCAATCTGAAATTTGCCTAAAATTTTTAAGCAAATCTTAGATTGGACATTAATATATGTAAAAATAAAAACTTTTTTTCTTCTCACCAATTAATCTTGGTTTCGATGTAAAATCACGTAATGGTACGGGAATTTTCCTTGTAATATATTCACAAATAACTTCAATATTATATTTAAGTTGTGCACTAATTGGAATAATTGGGGCACCTTCCGCATTCGTTCCTATAGAATAAATTTTCCTTTTTATTTTTCTTTAAAGTCAAAACAAATAAAATTCAAACCTTTAACAAAATCAATAATCTGTTGATATTGTTCTTTTGCTTGAGCTTCTTTAACAAGATCAATTTTATTTTGTAAAACTAATATTGAATTTAATTTCATTATACCAATAGCTGCTAAATGTTCAGATGTTTGTGGTTGTGGACAAGTTTCATTTGCAGCTATAAGAAAAATGATTTTTTCTTCTTCTTCGGTGTTTTTTTTTAATAAAGAATTTCTTTACCGATAAGTAAAAGAGCAGCATCCATAACAGCGGCACCGTTTAACATAGTTGCCATCAGAATATCGTGACCAGGACAATCAACAAAAGAAACATGTCGAACAAGACGAAATTGACCACCACATCCTTGTCGATCACATGGAAATACATCTTCTTTACATGAACCAGCTGAACGAAAACGTTCTGGTCGTGGACATTTTTCATTATCACATTCAAAGATCTTATTTTATAATTATTAGAAAATAAAAATATTTATTAGAAAAATAAAAATTTTCTCTTTTATATGTATACCTTAGCATTAGCATAACCTAATTTAATTGTAATATTTCGTTCTTTTTCATTTTTAAATCGAACTGTTAATACGCCAGATAAAGATTTAACAACTGTTGATTTACCATGTGCGACATGACCAATTGTACCAATATTAATTGTTGCTTGTCGACTAATAACTTCAGGGGTCAATGGTGATAACTGACTAGGATTCTAGATAAGAAAAATTTAGAAAATTTTTTAGACAAGAATTTTATATTATAAACCATATCAGTTATTGATTGTTTCGACAAATGAGGTTGGCCAGATGTTTCGTATGCAAGCATGATTATTGAATATATTCTATTGACGTTTGTTTTTTTGTTTGTTTTTTTTTTGAAATGTCGTTTAGATCAATGATCTAAAACATATAGTGTAATTAGGAAATTGGCCAATGTCGTCTATTGCATCAAATGAAATTTTTCATCAGCAAATTTATATAGGATGATGAAACAATCGAAGAAAAATGTATTAATTGGCGTAATATTACACGAAGATCGCCATTGCATTAAAATACACTCTGCCTTTAACTCAGGGTGAAAGCACAGGAAAAGAGGGCGCTCAATACCAGTTCTTCATACGAATGTCTATATTCTCTTGTAAGCAAAAGAATTGATCAATATGAAAATTTTCTTAATATTTGGTATATAA